GTGAGGAAAGATCTTATAAAATATGGGATTTGAAGAGTCCGTGTATTCCATTAATAATACTCAAAAAAGGTAAAGAAATCCAGAAGACGACTGCTCTGCTCTGCTCTGCTCTGCTCTGCTCTGCTCTGCTCTGCTCTGCTCTGCTCTGCTCTGCTCTGCTCTGCTCTGCTCTGCTCTGCTCTGCTCTGCTCTGCTCTGCTCTGCTCTGCTCTGCTCTGCTCTGCTCTGCTCTGCTCTGCTCTGCTCTGCTCTGCTAAAACATCGATTGTGAGGCAAATTGATAAGTTGAAAACATACATACCCCGATGTTCCTCATACTTTTAAGTCCTTTTTAAACTTACAGCGTTGTCAAGTTAGATTTTGCCTCCCTGATATCTTTATCTATTTTAGGGAGAATCTGGRCAACCAGGCCCTGCWGGAGCTCAAGGTCAAAAAGGAACGGCAGGAAAACAGGTTTATTTGGGTTGAATCAACATTTCAGGTTCCTTGTTTTATTAGTATATTAATGATTTCTCTTTTGTAGGGTCCTCAAGGACCTGTTGGGCTCCCAGGACCACAGGTAGGTTTGGCCAGCCATTTTATATTATATACATGACCATTTGATATAAGCAAAGTTCTGATTGGCTAAAAAGTCTACAATATCAGTTCATATCTCTTGAGTACATATTAACAACAAAGAGATAACTATAGAAATCTTAGTGAATCGACAAAATGTATTTATCATTTATACATTAATAAGTATAAACTCGAAATAAAATATCTATAATTTCTTWTTACTCAAATCCATTGATAATGATTATAACAAAACAATTATTTCACAATAGTTTCCGTTTTGCAATGATGATTAGCGCCAGACTAACAACTTATTGGTGTATTTATGTCTTCAATAGCCATCCTGTCCCAGTATAGTATATGTGTTATTTTAATTTTTTGGTTATTCGTTCAGGGTCCTCCAGGACTAGATGGTGAAGCTGGACGTAAAGGCGAAAAGGTAAATAAAAAACGTTTGGATCTATTGTCTTTAAAAGGGAATTTTTAAAATTTTTAAACCGGGTTCGAGTAGTTTAGTATGACTGTAAAACATCACGATCACGGTACGAACATAGCACGATCTGGCACGATGAAGGCTCGAACAACGAACAGTATTTTCCAGGAATCTCGCTTGGCATATCGACACGAACAGTACATTTACGGGGCAAAAGTATCGTGACTTTGCATGTAAATACGACATTTGTACAATCACAATCATTCATCATACACAATGATGATGGTGATGATGGTCAAGATGATGATGAAGATGACGGTTTTCTTTCTAACTCTATTATTCTTTTCTATCGCAGGGTAACCAAGGCTTTGGAGTCAAGGTATCAACAAATATCTCTTTTTTTGGTTATGTAGCAATGATTTTTTTATATATTTAGTTGGTTATTTTTATTTGAGACGCATTGACTAATTAATTGATAGCGATTGGTTCGCTGGTTTTGATTGATTGATTAGTTGGAATTTATGAGGTGATTGATTGATTTTTGTTCTTTTCATTACGTAGGGCATCAAAGGCGAAAAGGGATCAATGGGACCTAGGGTATGATCCAATAATATATGTGCTTGAAATTATAGCGTAATATTCATTTACTGTCTAATATTTATATTATTGACTAAACACAGTTGAGAACCCAGGTAAAGACGATTACTCCCAGGGTTCTCGAATATGAGTAAATGTAAAAAGGCTTTTAGATGAAAAGTATTTTTTGTATTTGCACTATATTCATGAAATCGCGCTGCACAACTACTTGTTAAAACTTCACATAGAGAAATAGAACATTTTTACTACAAACGACCAATACTAAAGAAGGCGTTTGATCTGAGTGACCTCCTTCTTTAATGACATTTAATAATTTCCTTTTTGTTAAAGTACACATTTTTGCATATAAATTTAAATGTACAGAAATTTTGTTCTAGAAAATATGGCTTGCTATACTTAAATGGATAAAATCCAACTAAGCAAACCAGCTGCTTTACCAACTTAAAAATCAATGAATTCGAACTAAAGAAAATGACACTTCTAGATGAGAATAGGTTGTGGTTGTGTGAAAAAGAAATGACGATAAAAAACAGACGCAATACGTATATAATACGCAATGGTTCCTTTTAATTAGGGTGCGAATGGATTCCCCGGTAGAAAAGGAGCCAAAGGAGATTTCGGCCAAAGTGGACTTCCTGGACCTGCAGGTGAACCTGGAGTATCTGGACTACCTGGTAGTGTAGGCCCCCCAGGACGCAAAGGTGAGCGAGGTGATACAGGACCAATCGGGATCAGAGGTGAAAAAGGTGAAGTTGGTAGTCCAGGAGTTCCTGGAAAAGATGGTCTTGTTGGAATACCTGGTCAAACTGGTGTCAAGGTAAGTTGAATAAAGTCATAAAAATGAGTAAATCATCACTTTAAAAGCCTTATTAGACACTGATGTTTTAACGAAAGTACGTACAATTATTCACAAAATATTCCTAAATTGGTTTAACATTTATGTTATATGTGAAAGGGTGAAGCTGGTGATCGTGGTAACGATGGGGCTAATGGTGCTAAGGGCGACAAGGTACGAAAACATCACTCCAAAAAAATATCGTTTTCTTAATTMAATGGGCGATCGCGCATCCCACTAAGACCCTGTTAACATTAGGTAGTGTGCCCCTAGGTGGCAGTGTTTTATGAAGCTGAAACAAAAGAAGTAGCCCTTCTTCCTAAGRGCAGYCTACCTCATGCAAACAGCTCCTTATGGGATCGAATCGATATTTTGTTTCTTGTTTGTAGGGTACGAAAGGTCAAGATGGACAACCAGGAGTGAAGGTAAGATCATTAATCGGCATAGTAAACATGAAAATCTTGTTGTAGAACGGTTTGTTTTCATTAACCAATAATGTAAAGTATAATAGTCAAAGCCGTGTATTGATGTACGCCGARAATAAAATGAAAACCTCCAAATTGAAGAGATTATAGTAGCTAAGGTATAATTCGCTGGATTTTGAAAACCACTCTAATCTAGCTAGCCGTATGACCATATTTAATATGAGCGTTTTATTTTTAAAGGGATCTCCTGGAGACGTTACAACAGTTGTAGGACCTCCTGGTCCTCCCGGACCACCCGGCCTGTCCACGGTAAGTACAGTACRCCRAGCTACGCTGATACTACGCTGTTTCATCACTTCAAACGTGTTGACATCGACAAAGAAAAKGCAAAGAAAAATTTATCCTCGCAATTAATTTATCAAATTGTTTACCATTAATAAAGAGTTTTTTTAAAGTGAACAACCGTACAAATTTCGGTGACGTCAGTGGATTCAAAATGTGAGAGAAGCAACTGGTGAAGCAATAACACTTTCCGTGACAACATTAGGGTTTCGACCTTAAAATATCAGATTCAAAACACCTGTCTTTCTATATAAATATTGTGTCCCTTTTCATCCAGATTAAGAACGAAAATGGTACCATCATACGTGGTCCCCCGGGCCCTCCAGGGCCAAAAAGCTTAATACCAGGACCACCTGGACCTCCAGGACCACCGGGGTCTCCAGGGCCCCCTGGAGACTCCAAGAGATCTGTTGGAAAAACACCAGTTGATATTCCTGGAATGAAGACTATGGAACATGGGGTAAGGATGGTTTCTTTATGAATCGAATACATTTAAAGTAAGGACATAATAGTTTCGTCCAATTCTTCTTTTCGCTGTAACCGCCATCTTGGATTTCTATATTGTCCAAAAAATTGTGCTCCATTACGTTTCCATAACATACCTTTTTACGTGTCCCGTTAACGCACGGTTAGCGTTTCCTATAGACCTCTGAAGCTTTCACGTCATGTACCGTATATGCAATCCATTGTAGAATATTTTTGGGACAAAACATGGCGGATTTCTTTGTTTTCTCTAGAACCTGATCCCACAATGCATTGAAAGTCAAGTAATGACGTAAAAGGTTCAGAAGTCTATTAACGCACTATTAATTTGCTTTTGTCGTTAACGTACGTATAATTTACGTGACCAGCGTATCTTCAGGTTTATTTACGTGTCCCTTACGTACATTTTTTATTCCTATTTCATTATAGGATTAATGTACGCTCACTGTAAACGCAAAGTTATTTCGTAAGTCTCTTGCGCACAGTTTATTCACCCAAGTAACCGTAACTCTTGTCTTTTAGGTTGTAACCTTTGATTCCTTAAATAATATGATACAAAGTGCGCCAGCTGTCTTTGCTGGTACGATTGCATTTGTTTTATCGGAACAACGTCTTTATGTWAAGACCAGCACTGGATGGAGACTRGTTTTGGTAAGTGAATGTTGATAATATTGTTGAAGTCTACCGAGGTTTACTAGTAACAAATGGAAGATAATGCGCTAGATAATATAGAAATACAGAAAACAGAAGAAGAGAAAAAGGAGGATCTTGGTTTCGAATCCAATGTGCGGCTGATTGCCATCCAATGCAATGTCGATTATTTCTAACGGAGAGCAGGAGCATGAAGCGAACAAAGGCAGCTATCCTATTAACTCAGYATTTCAAAAAATGTCGTGCGAATAAACGTATGGCGAATGGTAATTAATAAGTGTCTATTGGAATTTTTTGTCGATAATCGAATTTCGCAATTCTCTCCCATAATGTTTATTGGAATAAGTGTATACAGTATAAACAAAAATGAAGAATAAACCTCGGTTTTTGCCCACAATGCACTGCGCATCCATTCCTAGCATACCAAAACTGGACAAAAATGKCAGAGCCCCTGCAAAATGCTTGTCAATTGTTAATATTTATGATATCTTTTACGTTGAAAACCGTCTGTTTAGGAAGTTGAAAAACAAAACGTATAAATATTCATATCATGATTGACAGGTTGGTCCGTTAGTGATAGGACAGACTCCTACTGACCAAATATACGTTACGCAGGTATGCAAGCAATGTGAAATGCTTTTGTGCGCATGTAAATAACGTTCATTTCCCTAGTACAGCATAGAACTGATTTTATTGATTACTACTTATTATATCAAAGGAACCATCAAATGGAATGCTTATATTGCCTCAACCAGGAATCAGATTAACAGGACGTTATGTGAGTATTTCTTAGTCGTAAAAAACGTCCGTGCCCAATGTTTTACAAATTGTTTCCCCTTTATACTCGTACTGACAAGATAATCAATCACCTTCATGGGACACTTGTTTTTGTTTTTTGTTTCTTTGTTTGTTTTTCGCTCCTATACTATAAATACAATTTCACATTTTTTTATGTTTTCCTCAGCTTCGATTGATAGCCCTAAACTACCCTATTACCGGTCAAATGGGCACTCTAGCGGGTATTGATGGCCAATGTTGGAAACAGTCTAGAAAAGCTGGCTTCATTGGAGGATTCAGAGCATTCCTCTCCAACACACTGCAACATATATACACAGTGGTGCCACGAGGAGAGAGAGACTTACCCGTTGCTAATCTCAAAGTAGGTTATGCGGATATTGAATATTATTAGAAGATGACAAGAAAAGTATTGCTACAGCTTTTAAACATAGTCAGAAGTAAAGATATAAGAAAGCACAATATAAGCGCATAACAACTAGAATAAGTTGAAATTGAAATAATTGAATGGAGCTTGTTTCACAACGGTACTCTTGTTCCGAGCTATATTGATTTGTTTCTTGGTTATTTTTCAGGGAGAGCAAATCTTTTCATCTTGGCGAAAACTATTTGCGAAGCATTTAGCTTTTAACCCCAAAACACCAATATATTCCTTTGACGGCGAAGATGTCAATAAAAGCAAAAGATGGTAAGTTTCTATACTACTTTCGCGACTGCTTTYAACTGTTCGTTTGGYATTTTTTAGAAACTTTCTTTCTCTAGAAAGGTTGGCAATTATTTGGAATTTGGTTTTTCTGCATATTTTTGAGACACGAACTACAGAWGTTATATTCCCAATTAATAAAGTCMATTTTCTACACAGGTCAACAAAATATTTCTGGCATGGSTCAAAGAACGATGGTCGCAAGGCCGAGGAGAATTGTGGGTCTTGGCAAAGTCGAAGTGGMAAAGACCTTAGYACGGCCTCTGCACTTGATGGAAGCTCGGCTATACTCGATGAACAATATTACACTTGTGACAATCGATTTGCTGTGCTATGCATCCAAACCAGTCATAACACATTTAGGAAATAGCTCAATAGCTCACGACATATGAACAATGCGAGAGAAAAAACTGAAAAGTCATCCAGACCGAAACCCGCCATGTTTTGCGCGCGTGCGTAGTGCGACAATTTGACGCCATTGTCAAATTGCAATTCAGAATAATCATTGAAAAAAAAAGGAAAACTAAAAGATATACATGAAGGGAAAGCTTTATTTTACAAGACATGTTATATTTATATTATCCACCGAGACGTTTGTTCGTTGTTTATGTTCATGGCGGTAACTAGGTCAAACAACTAGGGAATATTCAATTTTGAAAGTGAGACTTTGACGGCAACTGTATCGTCTACAAGTTGACCGTCCRRAGATGTTTCATACGAATTTGAAGTAGAATTAAAGTGAATTTCAGTTGAAATTAAGGCCCATTTATAAAGGAGTCTGCACACATTTATTAAAAGTACATAAATTTTTACAAATGAATTTTTTTGACCAGAATAGAAAAATATGAAATAAGAAAAAAATAAATGATTACCAGAAGGAACCATGGCTTTTTATAGTAATTCTATAATTCAATGCGAAAAAAGTAAAATTAGCGATATCATATACAGTGTATTTTATTACTATGCTCTAGACAGGAAATGTTTCAAGAAGCTCTCTTGTATACTTTGACCTCTAAGAGCAAAATAAACAAAATGGTTCTCATCTTTGCCCGTATTTTATCATATTTTAAAGATTTGATCTATAAACATAAAGAGGAATGCGGAAAGACAAAAGAAATCCCGAGAGAATCCCGACTATTTATCGATTTGACATCTGATGACTCTCTGACAAAGAATGTTATTGTTATTCAATATGTCAACAACAAGAGCGCGTCTCTTGCCTTAACCAATCAAAAATCAAGGTATATTCGATAGCTCAAGACGACATGCTTCGAAGCTCCAAGCGCTTTCTAACCGAATAGTCTGAGCGTCTTTTGTTAGTTCACGACCTGTACATCAAGAAAATAGATCATAACTCAGGACTACTCCCTTGAAAACGGTGAGTTTAATGTTTCTTAATTTTTCTGTCGGTGGAGTTGTGGATGTWGTCGATTAACGCTAGCCGCAAACTCGATATGAATGATGTGCTAGCGGGAACTGGAGTATTCAAAATAGTACATTTTCAACACTTTAGTGTATACCCAGGCGTATTACAAGACMTTATGGAGAAATAACTATTCTAAAACAGACTCTTTTTAGCAGATATCTGTAAAATAATCGTTCTTGTTGAGGTAGGGGTTATCAAGTGCTCGACTAACTCAAATTGTTCACCAAACTATTTCATTAGAATTGTTTACGACCTGAGYAAAGTCGAGAACCGAGCAATTTACGATGCATTAGTCGAAGCTGTTTGTTTAACCTTGTCCTCAAATTATTACAAGATTTCGGTTGTAATTCAGCTTGATTGAGCTGWTTCTTCACCGTTATATTTCCAACGCTCTTTCTAGCGATCGAGAATATGTATTTGCGTGTTCCAAMTCGACTCTACAACTTGTATTTTCACGATATCAGTTACCAGWACTACTTACTATTCCATTTGAACGTGGGCTGACWAGGTATTCGAACTTTAAAGCGTTTGCAAGTTTCCTTATATTTTTAATTTCAGATATTTTGTATGCTTGAGTGGGTTGGGTAGGTCGACTTATTCTATTGTGATGTTTCATCAAAGTTATAAGTTTTAACACTTAATATATTTTATCACATGGAATTTCGATCTGAACAACTGGCGAATAGATTAGGAATAGTTTTGGCCTYGTGTTCGAAAGTTGATTTTGTAGGTTGTGCTCTTTCGTGTGAATTATTACTCACAAATATGCAAAACTCGCAAGTAATTTATTCATAAATTGTTCAATTTTTATGTCGTTTTGATAAATAGACSGAGRTAATAATGACGTTGGCGCAAAGGAGTTATGTAACCGTTAGATTTAATCGTTTTCTTCTAAAAAATACTGTAACTATTGTGGTTTTCCCTGGGAAACAAATKCATGTTTGAATGGTAAACATATCTTATCGCAACTAGATAAAACAGTTTGAGATCAAATTACTTGCAAGGGTTGCAAGTCCAAAAGCGGGAAAATGGCAACATTATAATTATACAAAATACATAAAGTTGCAATTTAATACTATGAGAAAAAGGCGCTATAATTTAACCAAAAAGCTTTTTAAAAATGTTTTGCCAATCCCTCAATTATTATAAACGAAAAAAACAATAAATTGTCGAGATTTTTTATTTGAAAGCAGTCATGTCAGCTTTCGCATCTTGCCTATTAACCCAGACTACATGGACCACTTGTGTACTAAAAGATAAAGTTCATATCTCCAAACGCCATGCATCTACTCTGTTTAGTATGTTAATCTACACAAATGTAAATTTACTGTCAAGAATTTTATAAAGATTTATCCAAAAAAGAAATCTGTGCTAATATCTTTCTGCACACAATAGAAATAGACAGATTACTTGATATTTCATTAAAATTTGTATAATATTATAGCTAAATGTATTGCAATTCAGGACCCTGCAATAAAAGTTGTTAAAAATGAACCAGYAAAGGCTCAGTACAGGAAAAAATTACTATAACATATTGAAACCTGACTTTGCTTAACCTCACTTAACWGTTTGTTGGCTTTCAAAATATTTGATATGTAAATTAGGATCATCAGGAAGGACCTGTCTTGAGTGACATCCATTTATAGTGATTGTAACTAGCTTTCCTGTGACCTGATTATGTAAGACTAAAAGAAACAATTGTAGAGTAGTCTCCTCTATAGCAGGTGCAATATTGTACACTCTCACTTGCAGCAGCTGAACAGAGTTTTACTTCCAAAAAAATGAATTGATTTGAACTGTGATCTTAGAAATTATTTCTGAGCAAGGTATAAAACAKTGCTATTGTCAGTGATTATTATCTATTAAAGGAGAAGCGCACAGAATAAAAATGCTCATTTTTGATTTTTTTTATGTATTYAAAGGTCAAGAATGGAGGACCCAGCTGCWGGYGAAGATGGCGATGCCATCATGGGTATTAGAATATTCAAATTAGTMCTGTTTGGCATCGTATTGCTTGCTGGTTTATTCCTCAACATTTTGATGTTCCTTGTGGTGACACGCAAGCGTGTAAGACATAGAAGAACAGCGAAGAGTTTCATWCGACTAATACAGAACTTGGCATGTGCTGATCTGTTGTTCCTGTTCTTCACWATCCCYTTTGATTCGGCATGGTGGTTGAACTCACCAACTGAATTCCCATATGGAGGTGCTGCGTGCAAGATCTTTTGGCCTCTTCAAAAYGCCTCCTTTGAAGCCATAGCTCTGACATACGTTTTGCTCAGCTTCCATCGTACTTATGGCATCAAGCAGGCACTGTTTGCTCAGATGAATGACCTCTTTATGATGTTTATTGTATTYGTGATATGGATTGGTAGYCTGTTGACTGTGCTGCCWTATGTTATATTCCTAAATTAYGACGCAGCCCGTCTGTCATGCCATGAGATGTGGCCACTCCTGGAYGATAGGCGTGCCTACAGCGGTGTTTTGTTTGTTGTACAGTACATCCTGCCACTAATGATCTTGTTGACCATGTACATTGTTGGTAAACGGGAGCTTGATGTGTAAGTATTTATATCATTATCTTATTAGAGGTTGTTGTATTTGTAACTAGATGCTCATATATTGTTTACATGGTCTTTGTGACACAAGCCATTATACTTGTGCCCAGACTGATTTTCCAAAGGTCTGTCAAGGCCGACCACATTGACTGGTTCCTGTATTTTGCGACATTAAGCCCAAGAGCTTATGAGTCATGAACTAACTTGTCCCACAATGTTGGATGAAGGGGGGTGGGGAGGGGACATGGATGTCATAATAGTCCAGCTGCTAACGTCAAAAATTGTTCACTTTTATGATAAAAGCACAAGGGTAGAATAAATATGTTCACTGAAAAGTTCTAAACTCTGTTTGTCAGAGTTGAGTCAACATGTAGTTAACTATATCCTGTTTTACATGTAATCTTCTGTGACGATACACCATGGGCTGATATATAAATAGTTCCTACCAGTACATTAACTTGGCTTTCAGTATATGTCATGACAGTCATATTAGTTGAACATCAACAACAAAGGATTTATTTTTAGTATCTATTGTTCATTCAATCAACATGGCTGCTGGTCTTCCRTCTTTTGATTCTCGTGGGAATGATTGAGAATGAGCTTGAAATTGACACAGATAGCCCTATACACCCTTTTAATAAGTCCCGAGGTATTGTGTTCTCCGCACTTGACGTCAAATTTATTCTTTTGAATTCCTTTTGTATTGTAAAAATTTCAAAAGAATAAATTTGACGTCAAGTGCGGAGAACTCGATACCTCGGGACTTTTTAAAAGGGTGTATAAGCAGTACATTACAATCTGGCTTGCAAAAAAAAATACTACAACTGGCACTATATCTGGAGTATAGATTTAGTCTTTGGTAGGACTAGGTTTCAGTTTTTCACTTACACTTGTGTTTTATATACTGTAGTGCTGTAACAAGAGATCAAGTGAAGGTACAGCGTAAAGCCAGGCACCGTAGAGTCAACTTTATGCTGATTATTTACCTTTTGGTTTTTGCTTTTCTGTCTTTGCCTGAGCATATCTGCAGGTTTGTTAGTCATATAACTTAAATGCATTCCACCCCATTAATGTTCTTCAGTTGTAAAGACGTCAGTAAAAGACAACACGAAAGTCATTTGCAAATATCATAATTGTATTTTTTGAAAGATTATTCAACCTCAATTTTCAAAATTTTATGACAATGTCAATAATGCAAGCATGATATGGAGTTCAAAAACCTTCACCACAATTGAAAAATCATTTTCTTTGTTGTTGTTGTATGTGTTTATAAGTGAAAAACCTTAATGGAATTGACTGTATCTATAAAAGTAGAAAATTATATTGTTGCAGAAGGATGTATCTTCATTTTATAACATTTCAAAAGAATTGAATTGAACAGAATTGAAACTGAATTGAAACATCAAAAACATTTATACTTGATGAAAAATATGCACATAGAAACCATATACATTTGCTGTAATGAATATCCCATAAATCAAACACATGTTTACAGTGGTCCTTCTGTTTGTTCCATTTCTTATCTTCATAATTGGGCCATCAAACCCATAATTTAATAATATATTTTTTCATAATCTTAGGTTCTTGTTGGATTTCCAAGGCGCAAATATGAAGCCATACTTCTTTGACATCATGAAACTGCTCTACGTCTTGCCTCTGTTGCTAACAATTACAAACCCGATTTTGTTCTTCAAATTCAATCAAGAATTCAGGTAACAATGCTTTGCTTTAAATCTATTTCTGAGATTCAAAACCAGTGCCTATAATTTGGTTATTCTGAGACCTATTACTTATAAACAGACGAAACATTTCGATTAATTTTTTATCGTTTTTAAATTCTTTCTTCAAGATTGAAAAAAAATACTTTCTAAGACCAGTTTCTTTGACCATATTACGCCGAACAGGCACCTTCGGCACTCCATTGCCTTTGTTGGTCTGACACACTAAGGCCATGCACCATAGGCTGATACACAGACAAAATAAGCACCAACATACTCGCAAAAATACTTACAAGTCGAGTTAAGTTAAATTAAAAGAGACAGGCGAACAATTAACAGCATGTAAGTAATGTATCATTATTGTATTTCAGGTCTGATATGTGGTACTTTCTGGGCTGTAAGTGTTGTAAAGGTAAAGATGCTACAGATGGTGGCCGCCGTACTTCAGCCTCGTTCTCAATTGAACTGCCTCCACCTGGAGAAGCTAAAGTCCCATACTCTGACATCCACCAAGCTCCTTCATCTGCTACAACAATGGAAAGGGCACCTCATGTTCGTGATTCAGGCTCAATAGGAGAGGCYACGTACCCAGGACGTGGAAGCAGACAACCATCTCACCAAGGAAGTATTTCTGGCATGGGACCACGAAGTTCAAGTCAAGAACGATTCTCATATCATGGCAGCAGAGACCCGATACCCATGACAGAAAAACCTCCKCGCTCAACATATCCCGAAGGTCCACCTCGAACAGGAAGCCGTCAAGACATACCACAGTATTCAACCCGCTATGGAAGTCGAGAGCAGCTTCCAGCTTATGACCAGCCTAAAGGTTATGACAGATATGGCAGTCATGACTCACTTCCAAGAAAGGAGCCTTACCCGCCTCGTGGTAGCAGGGAGCCGTCTTATCATGGAAGCAGAGATTCCTTGCCAAGGAAGGAACCTCCTCGATATGAAGAGCCKTACCGTGATCCTCCCTACCGACCTCCTAGTCGAGAGTATCTGAACCGAGAAGATCGTCCTCCATCCAGGGGCTCAAGAGGTTCCCGTGAAGCTCCCCCTTACAGACAATCTAGTCGCGAAGATCTCCGTCGCGATGACTACGATGACGATGCTGACAGCGATGCAGGCAGTGAAATGTTGTAAGCCRGGGCAACTTCTAGAACTCTTTTATATCATTTAATCAGTGGTTTGCTGTGCAGTCCGGTTTATAATATAGCTTTACCATGCTCAGTTAAGTAAGATTTATATACAGGCTGATATCATGCATTGTTTGCGCCAGTCAAGAAAAACACAAACATATATAGGAATAGGTATTGTTTTGTGCGTCTTTMGTGTTAAGGTGAAGGAAACATTTTTTTACCGTGTAAAATGGCGGCCAAATTTGTTGTTTTATAAGTGTGCCACCCAATACTTCGCAAGTGTTGATATAACACTATTCACTAACAATGTAATTTACGCTATATAGCACTCGTTTCATTAAAAGTCCCAACCTAACCTCCCTTGAAATATAAGCGGCTGGAAGTCGTCTCGACACACGCACAAAGACGCTTTATCAACCAAATTCCTATGAGGGGTCTTAATCATGATTTTTAGCCTTATATATTTTCACAGCTGCATTATAAGCAAAAGCGTGTAAAATATTTTCATGAAATAGTTGTAGTTTTTTAGTAAGTATGGTTTTGGTAGGTCTAGTACAAACACTAAAAATACGAATAGTGCAAATAAGTGACTATGAAAGCTTATTAAGTGTGTGATAGTCAGTTCCAAACAAAGACAACATAATATAATGTATCCTGCATTTAGAAAAATGGTCATCCAAGGGCTGTTAGAATTAGTGCATATTTGAATTAACAATTTCACAGATTTAGTTAKATWTTTAGCAAYTRTGCAACKWCCGCTAAATCTTCAACGTTTTTAGTGTTTGTACCCTAGAATGCCCTAGAATTATAACCATTGCAATCTGGAAATGTATAAAGATGCCAATAATTGTAACTTTCTAAATTTAATAAACGAAAATAAAAAAGTGTTTCATCTCGATGCTTTCTAAAGTTCAASTAGACAGCCCTTGGGTTTTAGTTCATAAATTCAAATTCTTCTTGAAGATATGTAAGATTGTAAACTAGATTGATCACGTGATATTGTAACCACTTTTTGCACAACGCTCAAAATCTCAACCATGAAAAAAAGAAGCTTGCAAATTCAAACTATTTGCTTCCCTCAGAAGCTCTGTAAAAACAGTAGTACGTTCAACTTTAAATCTTTAGAGATAATTAATTTTTTGGAGATATGCTTTAAAATTTTATGTTGAGAAATCTGATGTCCGATTCTTTGTGTCTTGAACGGGATTGTCATTTTTATTTTATTATTCATTTTATTTTTTCCTTGAAGAAAACACAAAGCCATCAAAAAAACGTTCTGATCATTAAAAAAAAGAAATGCAAGGCGAAAAAAAGTAAAAAGGCCCCGACGGGGATCGAACCCGTGATCTTCGGTTTACGAGACCGACGCCTTACCACTTGGCCACAGAGCCCACTTAATGAGAAATGGTTGTCAAGTGTGCAATATATACCGGCGGGAATTGAATCTCAGATCGCTGATTGGTACGACTTTTTATTAACACATTTACATATTATTTTAACCTTTTAAACACTTGCAAATATTTTCACATTAAAGAAAAAATGCATTAAAACAGACACAATGACCAACATAGGCTAAACACGGAAATTTATAGTCTAAAAACCTTTTTCGCTCTCTACAAGAGCGTACTACGCGTTGACTACACAGCCATTTTTCCGCTGGTATATAAAAAAGCRCTATTGAGCAGTAGATGGAATATATTGAAGCTCTTCTATATTAGGGCATTTCATAAAAAAGAGGTCCGTCCGTCGCGGCCACGTCGTCCGAATATTTTGTAAGTACACAGGTAGCCCAACAAAGGAGTTATGTAAAAAGATAAATTTAACACCGTAAAAAAGTATGTGGAAAAACTTACTGACGTTTCGGATGTTAATCCTTCGTCGGAGTAAAGATCTTTACTCCGACGAAGGATTAACATCCGAAACGTCAGTAAGTTTTTCCACATACTTTTTTACGGTGTTAAATTTATCTTTTTACATAAGTTAACTGTTTCTTTAGAAACACCGACGCAGCTCACACTAGTTTACCGCTAGTTCCCACCAACAAAGGAGTGTTGACTTACATGCCTCTTTTGTCTTTCTTTGGCCTCTTGTCTACCTTTGAAAAGTCTGTGTTATGCATGCTTTGCTGCAYTGGACAGAACTACAGGCGGAATTGGGGGTGGAGATCATGGCCAGGGATGCCAACCCACGAACTTTTCAAATCTTGAGAACGAAAATGATGACGTCATACCGGTAATGACGTTTCATAACATTGTCGATGACGTCATCGCATTTATCAAATTTCGTTATAACTAGTGATTTGACTGGATGTATCTTAACCAATCATATTATAGATTGTATTGTGCAATTGAAAATGGCCACGGATGGCGTGCAGTGTTATTGTTATCAGAAGACTGAGATTTTTTCAGAACTAAAATGACATGCAAGGTAATTTGAGTTTTAATAGATGAAAAGAGATATTTCAAAAAACTGATATATGAATCGTCATTATCCGGGAGATTTAGCGGTAAAATCTTGAGACCGGGAGAAACGGTCGAAAATCTTGAGACTCCCGGATTATCCGGGAGAGTTGGCATCCCTGCATGGCCCCCTTTCTTACACAAAATTAAAGGAATGAGAAAAAATAGAAATGAGATAAAAAATTAAATTTAAAAAAACTTTATTAGTAATTTTTCCGAATGAGTCTGATTCAAAATGAAATGCTTCAATAATTTCAATTTCTTTATTTTGATCCTTATTCAAAAATACCGCTTATCAACCCCTGATCCTGGAGCTACAAGTATGGGATAGGGTATCCTTTTTTGCCCATTTGTCTGGGATAGGGTAGTCTTTTTGTCTGGGATAGGGAAGTCGTTTTGTCTGGGATATTGGTTAGTAGCTTTGTCTGGGATAGGGTGTTCTTTTTGTCTAGGATAGGGTATAGTGTCATTGTCTGATCATGGGGTAGGGTGGAGTTTTTCCTGTGATCGTATCTGCTAGGCCACACTTTCAGTGCTAAAATAATGTACCTTTGTACCTTTAGTCTGGGGTAGGGTATGTAAAATCACAAAAATTGGTCTGGTATAGGGTAAGGGTTTTGTTAGTCATGCGGCACACCCCCACCCCATTTGGGGAGGGAATAACCTGAATGAATCTGCCTATCTTCATATTGATCATTATTAATTATTATTTACTTAATAACCATCATGGTGTTAATTAATATCAACAATTTAGAAAATATAATAATTAACTAAATGGGGAGAGGGAAAAAGGTAGCATCATGCACCCTCACATCTTCTTTTTTAGTACAGCGCTTTGTGAACCTCATTTTGGTGAGTCAAACACTTGGCTTTCAGACCCATGATTTTTTTCAGAGAAGGGTACAAATCTTTGGGGCAAATCTTCTGGGTGGTGCATTCCACACACTTTATATCCACTGCAACCTGCATGACCCTGAATGACCACTGATTTAGAGGTAGATTTTAGACATGGTTAGCAGCCCAGTTGTTTATGAAAAGATTCTTGATCAACATCTTGATGTGCAATAATTGTAACTGATAAATTTATCACCTTATTGAGAAAACATTGTCGGATTGGGTGATATCATAAGAAAGGATTTTTAAGTAATCAAAAATGTGACTCATATTTTTCCTTAAACCTATATGTTACGTCATCATAGCTTTTTTCATAAAGGTTGGTCAATTTATTCAATGAGGGCAATATTGTTTTGGCACTGAAACACTGTTGTACTCATAATATTTACTCTCTGGTGCTTCCTTTCAGTCTTGACTTTGATGATAACCTTTTAAAACCTCCGTGCAAACTACATTTTTTCCAATTTGAGTAGACTGATTCCACCAGTCTGTCAGGTTGCTCCTTTTTTTTTGCTCCCGGACCGACGCTAGTTTGAGCGACAAACGAAAAAATCGAGGAGCGAATACTACAACTTATGGAATCAGTCTACAATTTGAGGTGAATAAATAATAAATTAATCATGACTATAAAGTAATGACAATACTGGTATTCCTTTATTGTCCCACCTTAGGGTGCATAATATATGTGGAGTCTTAATTTAATCTGACAATTACAATGTTATAATAAAAAGTGATGTATTTATAAAAATACTATCTATAATATATTTATTTCATTACATTTTTATCATTATAATTTGAAGCAAACATTTTCAAAATTATATAGTGTCGATCAATCTGGTGTGGTTTGTGTCATATTATATTCCAAAAAATGGGTCTGCAGTTTCCTCAGTCCATAACCCATATCCCAAATTACTTTTTACAAATCAATTAATTACATGCACTGATGAATAAATATTCATGAAAATATTACAAGTAAGTTTCTTTTCAAAGATTCCTAGCTATATTATTKAATTATAAACAGGTTTTCAGGTCCAAGGCAATTCAAGTATCTGCCTTCATTTTATTTACTATTGACAAATGAAACAGCACACTGCAAATTTTCTAAAAATCATGGATAAGGTATGCACAACGTAAAAGACAAGGTCAATACACCGTATATACACTGTAGATATAAATTTTTAAGATAATATTTATTTTCAGTGATTAAGTGAAAAATATATATAAAAAATATTTGATAAAAAGGAGCTTTTCTGAAAGTCTGAATTCTGAAAGTCATCTCTGAAAGCATGCAGTCACAGACAGCTAAGCCCAGTCCTGACCTCTTCTTTCCAAGTTCTCATGATAGACCGGCAGCTCGGCCTCTTTTAATTAATATGAATCACCATATTTAATGAATAATTTGAACARCATCACCAACATGCAAATACTGTTGCTGTAGACTGTCATTATTGCARCCAGTGCAATCGCTCTCTCTGTGAACCAAACCAATGCCAAACGTGCCAACCTGAAAGAAGAATTATGAAATGGTAAAAATTCTATGATAATAATAAAGTTGGAGATTAATTTGCATGCATTTGACCCTGAGCATCATTTCAAGTAATTTCTTTGTATAATAATATGTTCAGGCAATTTTATCAAAAGTCTCCTTCACAGTTCCTTGCACCATCTTATAAAGCAGGCGCCTGTTGAAAGTGCAATTATGGCAGATACCTAGTTTGCATAATCGCCAGTAGGTGTGAGAGATGGTTCCTATCATTACATGTTCAACAACTGTCTTGCTTTGCTGCAAAGGCACAGTGCAGGGTGAAAGAGACCAATATTCATTTTTAACAGTATAGAGCAATGCTGCTCTGTGGCCTGAAATCCTTTGTATTAAGTTCTGTAACTTCCTTGTCTCTTTTTGTGCTATTCAGTTGTAAATTGTAGAGATACTACACAATGCAATGTATACTTTCTGTACCTTAGTTCCTCTCACAAGCCCTAATGTCTTAAGTGGTTCAGCAGTTCTTTGYCCTGTYTTTTGATCAAGACATATCATCTGACATCTTGCGCAAAGYCCTTGAAACTAGAAAATRCCAAATTTCAYTACTTAAATACAGTTACTTGAATACCATAGATTTGAAGCATTTGTGTATGTTAAATTGTGTTACCTGGAAACTGTGGTGACCAATCAGTACAGTTTTCCATTCATCTTCGGCAAATGCGTTGTTTCCATCAATAATTAAGTTACCTCTAAATCGACTTGCAAGGCCATCAATATCAGTGTCAGTATTCTGCTGAATAATGGAAAAAGAAGGAAAAACAATTTGGTTTTAAGTTGACAATAAAAAGGTGAAAGAAAGAAGCTCATTTGACAACATTTTTCCTAACAACTGTAATAAAATGTCATTATAAATATTACATATCATTGTTCACATATCAAACGGTTAGCAAACCTCAAATTCAGATGGCTGATTCATATTTTGATAGAGTTCAGAGACACTGGCTTGGCTAATGAGCAAGTACTGAGAGACATTTGCAAGAGACAAAGCAGATTCACCAGACGTCTCTTTGCAGCCTATGTAGAAAAAATAAAATTATTTATCATATGATTATCTATGAAACACCTATATCTCTATATTTCGTAATAATGATAATTTTTCACTGTTATAACAGTGAAAATATCATTTTCTCTATCAGAAAAAAATAGTGCTTCCACTTAAGCCATGGATAATACATTTTCTCTCACTAGTGAAAATAACACATTTGAGGTTTTGCTATATAGTGGACCTAAGAAAAAAGGTATTTTACAACATAATTTGCTTTTATATGTAATTATATGATAAACAGAATATTACATGTTCGCTTGGAGATATGAATTTTTTCAACATTCGAAGATAAATCCGTATCTCCATGCGCCCATGTAGTATCCTCTATATAATACATACTGGAACCGAAATTGTATCATGCCAACAAAAAWGGTCCACAGCATACAAACCTGTTTGCAGAACCTTGGATTTCCTTGTGTCATCAGGTTTTTGCTGTACCAAGCAACATCTTTTACCCAGAAATGAAGTCAACCATTTGGCAGCTTCTTCACCACAGTCAAATACATCTAACCTACATGTAAATTGTAAATAAGCACTCRGGTAACTAATAGCTGAACCTATTCTTATAGCACCAATGTGTATGTCCAAGCATTAAATCTCAAGCAACTGAAGAATGTATAGCCTCTTCAGCCACCCTTGCATTATCACACCTTTTTATGTAAGTGCATAWTACAWACATGTAGTATGTTGCACAGGGAGTGTCGTTGACAGTCATTTTATTATAAATTTTGTTCTTAACTTGTAAGTGACGTCCATGCAGCTACATCATTCTATACAGTCATGATGTACAGTACATGTATTCAGGCATGTTTCCATATCAAGGAATCATGTGCGTATATTCATGGATGTGTGTATAGCCAAAAAACACAAGCATGTCCATTTACAAGATCGAATAGATTATTATCAAGTACCTTTCCTGGTTGATTTTTGCTCTGCAAACATTTTCATTTTCAAATATCTGRCTGTCAAGAATTTTCACTTCTAAGGTTGGCATGTCTATCAGTCAAGAAAACAAATTGTTATAACAAATAAAGTACAGTATATTTTTGGTATTAAAGCCATAGAGTACATCATAAAGGTTACACTGACCTGGAGCTGTAACTTTCAATATTTCATGTTTATCATCAATGGAAGGTGTTATTAAGCAGAGTTTTGGTTCTCTTTTTTGGCTTAAACAGATATGAGAGTCATTTATAATCATCCACTGTCTGTCATACATCAATCCTCTTGGTCCTATTGGCCACCTTGAGACCTAATACACAAAACATACAACTATATATCAACAGTCTGATAAAACAGAATAGAATACGATTTTCCAGCAWAAAATATAGTTGTGTTCCTTTAGTGTCCMTTTTTCCCATTCTCACCTCAAAACCACCACAGGACTTGATTGGAAAGAGGCATATTTTCTTCAATTCAAAACRGTCCAWGGCCTTGRYYATCTCTGGCTTACTGRGTRGTATTTCAACACTTTCCTCRCTAACTCGCTTCAAAGGAATACTACCTAMTTTTTGATTTAGAACATCYTCTTCTCTGATTGCATTTTGAGTCACMGCATTTCCATTTTCAACAAAACAGTGTTTGATAAACTTAAGAAATTTTTGAGCTTCTGTAAATGTTGACATGTATCCAAAAGATATTCTTACAGAGCCTGTTGGRTGTCCATCAATAAGGTCTACATTATCTCCACAAACATGGCCTGCCAGGTAGTTATTTTTGAGCTGTGCATTAGATATTCCAAGATATTGYTGACTTGCTCCAGTGTTACAGAATGAACCAGTTCGCAGGTGGATATTGAAAAGGCATGCAAATTTGTCAACCTGAAAAATGTATTTAATATTTTTTACCATGATCACGGCTATTTTGATGTACAGTAGGTACGATCAAGTGCAGTTAGTATTTCTGTTGAAATTTATCTTTCTGATTGGTTGCATGCAAATAAAAATCCAATCAAAGGTAAATAAACATCAGGTGGCGACTTGCAACACCTGTGGGAGCTATGTTCAATATAACATTTTATTAAATTTTTTTTTTTTCTTTTTCACTTCCCTGAGAAGTGCTTTGTTGATTCTGGGAAGCCTTGCCTATTTTTACCAGATATTAATTGTCCAAAGTGTTGCTGTACTCTTAATTTTCATTGGTCATGTTAAATATTTGCATTACTTTGTGACCAGCCTAGACAAAGTCCAGGGTCAAAAACCCTATACCTGCAATTATATCATTAGACTCCTAATTGTTTTTTTGGCCACCTGAAACCATAGCTCTTTGCATGATTAACAGCTGTCTATTGCATGACAGCTGTCATGGCTTTTGTTGAAACTGGTCTCATAGTAATGCATGTAATATCTATCTAACCAGTAATAGATCAACTGCTACTGCATACCTCACCGTATCCAACCATGGTTCCATTGGATCTCATTATGTTAAAGTTGATTACAGGTCCTTGATCWTYGGCATTGSTAAAATCAGTTCCACAGTAMARCTGACAYACTKGTGAATCATTAAAATGYTTCATTGCAGCCATTTTCTTGTACACATATTGAGCAAGACTAAATGTGTGATCACATATTGCTTGCATCCCACCAGTGAGTTGATGGAGATTGTCTAAAGCATGACCAACAGCTATAATATCCAAAAATGGTAGAGTTCCATCTTCAAATCTATACAGAWCAAAACGATACATATCTCACAACATATGTATTACCAGAAACTCATAATCCCCTTATGAGTTTCTGGTATTACCATATGCATATGTACATACATATTCTGGTAGACAATTACAGTAATCATTTGCTACTCTAATTTAGGCAATAATCTTTCTCATGATTCCCTGAGACATTTTGAAAGAAACACTYTTGACAAGTAGCCAAGCCTTAAAGCCTTAAATTGCATCGAAGGGACTAGATGACCTTGATGAGCTCACAAGATTGATAAATACCTGTGAACTAGTGCCAAGATTTTTAAGGAGAAAGTTACCATCATTGCAAACCCAACAGTGTTCTCTCTCTTTAATTCAGACTTGGCATATGACTACCGAATATTGCAGATGACTACTACCGCAGCTTGCTCTATACAATTGTAACGTACTGTGTATGTAGTGCTTTCTCTCTTATTAACTATATTAACTACAAAAGGAAACATGTTGTTGGACTAACCTTTCTGATATATTTGGCCTCAAAACATGGAATTTTTCACTACTAATTGTGGCAAGGACAGTTCCTCCACCATAATATTTCTTTTTTAGAATGTCAACACTTTCATTACGGATTAATAATGCACCAATTCCTGTAGGAAATCCAAACATCTTGTAGAAAGACACRGGCACAAAGTCTGCTTTATACTTATTCAAGTCAAGGTGTGATGTACTAACAAATGACGCTRCATCAACCATTACAAACCATTGGCTTAGAGTATCATGCACWGTGGTTATCCAATCCAAAGGGTACTTCTTACCAGACATATTACACATTGCTGGAAACACAAAAAGGTTTGGAYAGTCATTWTTGTGTTCCCCTATGCCATTATTTTGGAAATAACTTCTAAAGTCTGTGRATTGGAGCCCTTTGTCTTCAATGCATACAAAACCACCACCCTCCTTAACAGCACATTCTCGAAGTCCAACAACAGAGGTGTGGCTRTTCTGCAAAAAGTATAGGTGCGAGTTTYCTTGCCAATCAAAGCACTCKCCAACCAATTTCATTGAGGCTGTTGCACCTGMCGTAAACACAACTGAGTACTCATCGCTGCTTGTATTAAAGTGATGTAGGATTTTGTTTCGCACTTCGTTAATGCGTTCTGTCGTCAGCTGACTACTTGGGTTTTGACTGTGCGGGTTGCCATAAATATTTTTTGATAAATCACTGATATATCTGTCGAGAAGAGACTTAGGGTACTGTGTAGCACCAATGTGATCGAGGTATAGGTCATCTGGGATGAAAATAGATCATGTCTTGAGTAAAATATTCAAATAATTATTTGCTTGATTTATTGATTATTTTCAAAATGCTAACAATCTAAAAGAGCAATGTAMTTTGGTAAAGATAATTTATAATGAAAATCAACATTAAAATAATAAACGAACATGACTCAGCAAAATCTGCTGTCATGGAGAATGGAATGCTACAAATTAAGCTTATACGTTATAAATAATGCTACTTGAATACCTAAGTAAAGAAAAAAATTTTCCCTTTTGATATACCCAGTCGTGCATCCAAAAACAGTTTGCAATACGACAATTAAGCTTGTCTATCATAGCTAATCGTTTCTTGACATGTCGTGCATATAGACACCCTGCTACCAAGGAGCCATACGCCAAACTATTTTTCACGGTGAATCTTTGCAAAAGCAAACTAGGCACAATTACACAGAGCTTTCTCTTACCTCCAAGTCTTTGAAATTCYTTCTCTCGGATTGAATCAATAGTCCCATTGTAGCCGTAAGAAGCTGAATAAGTTTGCAAGAACAGAGTTYTTGCTTCTTCGTCGTCCTCCATTGCCCCCTAAACAAACAACACAGGAAGCCCAAACTGGGCAGAGAAAGATTGGTAACTATTAAGACAAGATGGCGGCCAAGAAAGTGGATTTTCGTCGTCTAAAAGAAGAACGAGAAAACTTAAAAAAGAAGGCGAAGATAGACTCTCCATTGGCTAAATATCCTTTTTCATCTATTCGGGATTAATGACATAACATTTGTCAAAATATTTTGAGGAGACTYATCTTTCTATGTACCATTCTTATTCGTTCTTGGTCTTCTTGTAGATCAGTCCTCACGAACTATCA